GACGCAAACCAAGTCTACTCTTCGCTTCGCGTGTCTGTGCAAAGTGCCTTTCTCAGCCCGAACCCAGGAGCCCCAAGAAAGGGTCAGGGTTCTGGTGAAATATAATTTGTCCAGTCCCAAAACGGGCTGACTGGCTTCACATCCAGAGAACACATTTTCACGGAAATTGTGACAGAGTCGCTCCGGGACCCCAAAGCTCTGTGTCCCCGAGCTCCGCGGCCCCAGAAACTTGCACCACCCACTCGCGCCACCGCCTCGCGGAAGCCGCAGTCCGGATTAGACCTTGGAATTTGTAGTCCTGGCAACTCGCGCCAGCTCCGCCTCCGTCCCGGGTCGAGCCAAAAGGGCGGCTTCCAAGCTCATCTGCTCTCCAACACCGCCCTCTGCCGGCCACTTCTCGAGTCGCCCGGATTACGAGCAGTTCCGGTTGCTCCGGAAGTGAAGCTTTCTTTTCCGGGGCGAGCGTCTGGCCGTTCGCACGTGGTTGTGTTGCCCGGGTTTGAGCCGGCGCTGGCGGAGTAGTAATCTGGCCTGTCTTCCCGGAGCTCGAGAGCCGAGCCGGAACCATGGAGGGCCAGAGCGTGGAGGAGCTGCTGGCAAAGGCGGAGCGGGACGAAGCCGAGAAGCTGCAGCGCATCACGGTGCACAAGGAGCTGGAGCTGGAGTTCGACCTGGGTAACCTGCTAGCCTCGGACCGGAATCCCCCCACGGGCTTGCGACGCGGGGAACCCACGCGGGAGGCTGAACTGCGGGCCTTGGCGCGGGACAACACACAGCTGCTCATCAACCAGCTGTGGCAGCTGCCCACGGAGCGCGTGGAGGAGGCGCTGGTGGCGCGGCTGCCGGAGCCCACCACTCGCCTGCCGCGCGAGAAGCCGGTGCCCCGGCCGCGGCCGCTCACGCGCTGGCAGCAGTTCGCGCGCCTCAAGGGCATTCGTCCCAAGAAGAAGACCAACCTGGTGTGGGACGAGGTGAGCGGCCAGTGGCGGCGGCGCTGGGGCTACCAGCGCGCCCGCGACGACACCAAGGAGTGGCTGATCGAGGTGCCGGGCAGTGCCGACCCCTTGGAGGACCAGTTCGCCAAGCGGATTCAGGCCAAGAAGGAGCGGGTGGCCAAGAACGAGCTGAACCGGCTGCGGAACTTAGCTCGCGCGCACAAGATGCGGCTGCCCAGCTCGGCCGGTATGCACCCTACAGGACACCAGAGTAAAGATGAGCTGGGCCGCGCCCTGCAAGTGGCCAAGGTCTCCACCGCTTCCGTGGGGCGCTTCCAGGAGCGCCTGCCCAAGGAGAAGGCGCCCCGGGGTTCCGGGAAGAAGAGGAAGTTTCAGCCCCTTTTCGGGGACTTTGCCGCGGAGAAAAAGAGCCAGTTGGAGATGCTGCGAATCATGAACAGCAAAAAGCCTCAGCTGGACGTGACGAGGGCCACCAATAAGCAGCTGAGGGAAGAGGACCAGGAGGAGGCGGCCAAGAGGAGGAAGATGAGCCAGAAGGGCAAGAGAAAGGGGGGCCGGCAGGGTCCTGGGGGCAAGAGGAAAGGGGGGCCGCCCAGCCAGGGTGGGAAGAGGAAAGGCTTGGGAGGAAAGATGAATTCCGGGCCGTCCGGCTTGGGTGGCAAGAGGAAAGGAGGGCAACACCAAGGAGGAAAGAGGAGGAAGTAAAGTTCACCCCCCAGTCGCCCTGCCTGTAAACCAAGAACTATTACAAAGGTTACTGCCGAAGTCCTGGAGGCGGGTGCAGAAGGGGGCCACTGCCTTCATTGAGGCAGAAGGGATAGGATTGCCCTCCTCTCAAGGCATTTTGTAAATGTTGGACTTAATGTTTTTCCAACATCCAGGTGTTTGGCTGGAGATTTAAAAGATGTATTTGAGGACATAAAAATTAGAGAAAGAATTTGATTGAAACTGGAAATGAAACAGCCTTCTTTTTTTAACTTTGAATGTGGTGTGAGGGAGAGTTGTACATATTTCAGAGACTTAAAATAGGTTGATTTCATTGTTATTTTTTATAACAAGCTTGTGTATTTATGAAAGCAGATGGGGCACACAGAAAGATTACATTTTCAGACCTGGCCTTAAAAGTAATTGCGAAGTTATTTAATAAAAGTGTGTCTGTATCTGATGTTGCTTTTAACTGTTTGGCTATTGATAGAGATCTTAAGTAAAGCCAGTGCTGGATTATCTGGTACATACTATTTTCGTTTACTTTCTTAAAAAAAAACAAAACACAAAACAGCTAAATTGTGATGATTTCAGCGACACCACTTTAAAAGCAAGCCAAAAAAACCAACTTGTACTTCTAGTATCATATAATATTGAAGATATAGTTAGGTACTTAAGACACAGTAATGTTCATTCATTACTTAGGATACTTTCTGATTAAGTTAAAAGTTGAACTTAGCCAAGTTGATCATCGATCAACTTTTCCACTTGGACATGGTGCACTTGGGGCTGCTAAGCCCTCCTGGACAGTGTAGTCTAATCAGGCAAAGTTTTAACTACTGATGAAACCATTTATTGGAATCCTGAACAACTTCATCAAAAGACAGGCCACTCAGAGAGCATTTAACCTTTCCAAATCTCAACTTGGCGGGGATGGGAATGTCATGTTGTTTTGTTTGGGTATTGTTTTTGCTTTAAGACTCTCTTGATTTAGCAGTTGAACACAACACAGACCCTGTAAAAAGGGACCCTAGGGCTTTCTGCAGGGTTCTTGTTAAAACAGTTTAGAGTGTCTTAATAATTTTTTCTGAAAATACTTTAGAAGTCAGAATAGCATTTTTAAAAAACTAGTGGGACAGAAACGCCCTTGTTTTCCCTTTCCCGCGTGTGACAAGGAGGTTTTAGGCAGAGAGACTTAAGCATCCAAGACCCTACCGAGCAATTTCAAAGGCAGATGCGGAGACTTTCTGCTGGGCCCTTGGGGTTATGACTCCTGGGAAGGCGTCCTGAGCCCCCCGCGGCTACCGCGGAGGGTTGGCCTGGAGAGGTGGGCGGGCCGTCGGGCGA